AAAAAAAAAAAAAAAAAGTAATGGAAGAGTTGCCAAAGAGCAGTACAGCAACACAGATGGCCTGTAGGTGGTGACTAAAAGCAATGTGTAGTGACCATTGACCCCTTTCTAGGTGCAAAAGGTATGCAGGGCTCCCCTCTCCCTCTTGCACCTGTCTGCTCCAGGCCAAGTCTTCAGTGGATAGTCATCTGTCCTAGTCTCTGCAGGTGGCTCAGGGGCCCTCTGTAGTCTATTTCCCCTTTCACACATTCCTGTGCCTGCAAATTTGTATTCCATTTATATTATGTCAATAAATCGTCACTGTTTAAACTCAACAGACAAGAAGGAGAAACACACTTATTCAGAGAGCTTTTGCCAATCAGGTTCTTTCACAAAAAACTGAGAAATACCCGCCTGAGTCTCTCTCAGCCTCCCATTTACTCAGCACTGTCCTGTCTAGACCAAGCAGCCTCACCCTGCAGGAGCTAGGATTTCCTTTGCTTGCAAGTAAAGTGTTTCCTATGGGAATGCCTTATCTTTGATTTTTTAAAAGGTATTTAAAAAATTTTAAAGGTATTATAGCTGCTGCATTTGATATCAAATAAGAATCTGTAATTCCTGTTGAAATACTATCCATTAATAAAAACAAACAATAAAAGAACTCAGTATATAGCTTCGTGTGAAACCTGGGTTCAATCCCGAGTAGTAAGTACAGTAAGGAGGGAGATTCATAGCAGCCAGTAAACCAGTGTAAATGTGGGCAGATGTGTGAATCCATATAAATCTTTCATGAACATGTTCACCAAAGAGAAGAGTTAGCATAACAAAATGAAGAATCTAGATCCACATTTTAACATATTTTTTTATTAAATATGTAAAAAGATCAACGCAAGTCAAGTTATTCACATATTCAGACAAAAGACTATTCTACCATGCGACAATAGGTGGGTAATGTAAAATGAATGTGATACATCTGAATAAGACTTTTTCATCTATTATGTCATTACTTATCTATATTTATAATTAACAATACATATGTTTACATTCCTTTCAGTTTACATTTAATATATAACAAAAGCTTTATGTTGTACTATTTAGTAAAAGTAATCTGAATGCATATTAAACCATAACGGAAAAAGGGAAATACTCACCAGGGAAGGAATTCTTGGTTCCCTTCTGGACTTTACTTCTCTTGGGTCAATAAGTGTTTGTCTTTTTGTTTTTCCTGCTTCTCTGCTTAGAATGAATACGAACTTTCTCTTTGCCCCCTGCTTCGATCACTTCCAATCTGACAGTGGTAACGGAAGTGCTATCTCTAACCAGCTGACAATGGGCACGAAGTGACACTAAGAAAGAAATCAATCTTCCTGAGGTGGGAGGAGCAGGGTACACCCCTAGGGATACCTGTCCCCAGTACAATGACGTGTGGCTGGGTGCGGGGCATGGAAGAAGCAGGCCCTGAATAGTAAGACGAGAGCACGATGCGGCCCCACCACCCAAGCAGCAAGTGGTGGTTGTACACAGGCAGGGGTCACAGCTCAAGACTGACTGACTCTGCAACCGCTGTTAAGATTCCCCAAGGCATCTATGACATTATCTGGGGTGCAGCCCAGCAGATTTTTAAGATGGGAACAGAAAGAGGAATTCATAGCTCTTCTCTAAATAGTCTGCCCCAAGCCACGAAAGGACAATGGAATACAGTTCCTGGGAGAGCTCCCTGCTGGTATCTCTAGCTTAGAAGGTTGGGAAGCTGGACAGAAATGGGAGTGGTTCCAGCAAGTCATCAGATGTGCGTATGGAAACTATACAGTGTCAAGTGGTTTTGGAGAAGATGGGACCCTGACTCATCTGTTCATGGACATCCATATGATAGAAGTGTGGTCATGAACCACGTGGCACTGGGTATTACTGAGACATCCAGGGTAGATGAAGAATATTCTAGGAACCACGGAAAGTATCTGCAAGGAGTTATTTATTGCGCCTCTTTACAAGAGCTATTTTTACAGTCAGTGAGTACAACGGGTTGAGGGGCAATACACCGTTAAGCATGATGTCATACATAGCACAACCACTACCTATAACCAGGTGTGGGAGGATGTCACTGCTGGGAGCCAGGCTTTCTAGCCTGAGAAATGAGCTGCTACTACAGTGCAGAGTAAGCAGGAGAGAGAAGAAAGGGAAACTAAACACCACGGAACATCTGTCCAATTCTGCACAGTGTGTTGTAATAACCTCAAAAATACAAGCCATCTTTCCCACATATAACAATAAATGCCACTTTGCTGCAAAAGATTTATTTCGGAATGACTTCTTTTGGTGCAAAGCTTCAATGCTAGAATTTAGAATTATCTCATCAATTAACAAAGAAATTTCAAAGTTTTATGATACATTATTCAGAAACTTATTTTAAGCTTTTCAATTCAGCAGGGGGGGGTGCACTGGTTTCTTATTTTTTGATGCACCTGCTAATAAGAAAGTAAATCTAAAGTTAGAAACTGAGTGAAATGAATGATCTAGGAAGAGAGACCATCTGTTAAGAGGGGGAAAAAGAGGCAACGATTTTGGAAAGAGACTAAGAAAATGTGCAAATATTAGTTAAAAAAATAAGGAATGCTTTTAATTCATTAATGTTTCCTCTTATGAATTGCCACGGTTTAGCAAATGTCAATGACAAGGAGGGCCCTTGTATTAGAGGGAAAATTCCTCATTTCAGAAGATACTGGGAGACATAGGTTTTTCTGTGCTGTTGTTCCAGTGTCAGCACCAGACTGCAGAACTATGATTCTCCCTTGGAACTAATGCTCCGATGAGTGAGGTCTTGGCGTGGCCCAGCCTTGCAGCCAGTGTGCAAGGCGATGCAGAGCCCAGTGCAGCCCAGGCCGCACACCCGGAAGCTGCCCTCGAGGAGGAGGAACTCCCTAGTGTGAAGGACAGGATCTGGGCTGCAACCAGGTGAGGAGGAAGAGGGCTGAGGCACAGGATCTGTCCCCACCAAGACCCCCCTCAGACTGCAGGTGACTATGACATTTTGGGGAGAGTGGCTTCCCACCAAAGAGGACCCTGAGAAAGAAAATAACATGAGAACCCAGGAATTGGGGAGGGAGGCAGGAGGGCAGGAGCAGAGAGAGGGCAGAGCTGAGATGGCATTCTCCTTGAGTGAATGTCTTTCAAAACTAACAACATACTGCATGGTTATCTAATGTGCTGCTCTATGAACACTGCTGGCTGGGCCTTCAAGTCCTAGTTTCAATTTTTTTTCCTATTATCACTGTGAGTAGAGGGAAAAACTGACCCTCTGCCTCCCCCCAACCTCTGACACAAGTCACTGTCATTATGGCTTTCGTATCAAGTATCTGTTTCCCTTTGTTCCAATTATTTGACCAAATTTATGTTGAGAAGTTAGACTTGCAAACATCAAAGCACCACAAATGCATGTGACATCTAGTGACACTGGGTTGAGAAATGCCAATATAAATACCATATATCAAATTACCATTGTTTCACACCAGGATAAAAAGGGGTGGTGATGGTGGTGGTAATTTTAGGACAGGGAAGAGTTGCTCTGGAAAGAAATGAGAAAAAGAGCAGAACCAATCTCAAGCAGCCAAGTGAAGTTGAAGGGATGTGACCCTATGATCTCTCAGGTCGGCGGCCCCAATGGCCGTCTGCTAATGCATCTTGGCAAAGGAAATGGGGACCAAGTGCAGTGGTTGGCGAATGCAACAGTGCGTTGGTGGTAACGGCAGACTGGGAACAACCGGTTTCTCTTGAGCTTGAGGCCACACATTCCAATACGGCCAGAATGGCCGTCTGCTAATGCATCTTGGCAAAGGAAATGGGGACCAAGTGCAGTGGTTGGCGAATGCAACAGTGCGTTGGTGGTAACGGCAGACTGGGAACAACCGGTTTCTCTTGAGCTTGAGGCCACACATTCCAATTCTCCAGAAGAAAAGTTCCCATGCACAATGGAACTGTCACAAGCTGCCAAGATGGTTCAGTACTCTTCCTGCTGTTGGGGCTGCTGGTCATGGGCTTGCTCCTCTGCTTCTGGCTCTTCTGTATGGCCCTCCTGCGGGGCAGAGAAGAAATTTCAGCTGAAACAACTTACTGTGTCTGAGGGCCCACAGAGTCCTAGGCCATAATCACTGTGCAGCACGGTGTCGCTGGGCTGTGGGGATACCGAGCTCAGATGCAGCTCGCCGTGCAAATGTCTCCTGGCTCCTAGTGGCCAGCACACACTCAGGGATGCCCTCACATCCCTGTTCCATCAGAGAACAATGTTCTGGAAAGCACAGCCATCAAGCTTTAAGTTCCAGACCTCTCCTCCAACTGTCTTGGAAGAAAATCTTCCTGGAACATAATGCATACTTTCTTACCCTCTGTAAAAGAGTAACCAATCACAGTGACTGCACAGCATCATGATAATTATGAATGAGCCAGCAGGGACAGAATATAGGACCCTAGGCCTCTGTGCTGTGTTGGATGGCTGCCCCTACACCAATGGCCCACGGCGTGGTGCTTTTGATCCAATTCTTATTTCCTCCTCTGCTGTCATTTTTCTTGCTTGCTTATGTCTGACGTGGACTTGGAAACCAGAGAAGCAACCTGCTAGAGTTTCTGAGGGGAACAAAGGACAGAGGCTGTTTCATGGCTGCTGCAGGCAAGGAGGCCCTTCTCAACAGGCAGAGCTCTGGTTCATGGACTTTGGGGAATGTGTTTAGGGTGCTTCAGGCCCTACTTGCTTACTTTCTCTCACTGACATGAATCTTCTACTTGGCTCCCAATGTACTATTTATTCATCTGCCTAATCCAGTGAAGAACATCAGGAAGGCCAACTTAGCCAAAGCTGCAAAGTCTACCACTTTTTCACCACTTCAGGAATAATCAGTTCTTTATTATCCAAGCACAAGAGTGAGGCCAATCAATAACAGCCAGCTGCCTCCTCAATACTGGCACAGGGCATTGGGATGCAGCCTAGCGCGTCCACTGGCACATACAGAATTGCTCAGGTCCTTTGCACACTTGGCACATGGACTCCCAACACATACAGACCCATTCTCTCCCTATCTGACCCCTACTCCCTGAAGCCAGAGATGTGACCATGAAGATCCATTTCAAATACATTACCATCATCTCCCCAGACTCCTGAGCCAGAATAACACCTCTCCCTTCTTCTGCAGCTATAAAACTCTGACTGGGAATCTTGTTTGTCTTGAACTTGGCCCCAGCCATCACCAGATCCTGAGGTTCCTACAGTCAGGGACTGGGCCTTATTAAACTGTGGCACATTTCATTCACTACAGCATTCAAAACATGTTGTGTGGAGAGGAAGGAATCAGAGCACTCAGGAATGGATGACCAAGACTATCAGTCCACCAGTCAAGGTCATACAGTGAGTCTTCTCAGAAAGGCAGCCCAATGCAAAGGTTGGGAGCAGGGACTCTGGAATTCACGTCGCACTTCCTCTATTTACCAGCTGTGAGACTTTGGGCATACAATGTAACTGCTCTGTGACTTAGTTTTGTCTGTAAAGTGGAGGACAGTAGAGCCCCCATGTAGCAGAGTTTTCAGGGTGTTCCACTGATTAATTCATTGACTCCAACTGAGGATTTAATGAGTTAAAACTAGCAAAGTGCCTAGAAGAGTGTTTGGTACACAGTGAATATTTTAAGTGTGAGCTGAGCCTATGATTTCTTAGTGGGCGAACTCTATGCAACACATTCTAGATATACAAATCATTTTTAAAAAACAGCAACCCTGTCTACAGAAAGAGACATTGTAGTATCAAATGTAGCACTTTGCTTTCCTGGCTCTGTACCAACAGGCACATTATTTTGTAAATGTGAGCGTTCCCCACGTCTATGCACACATCCTGATATCAAGCCCAGCTCTGTTCTATTCTGGAAAGTTAAGGCCCAAACCTACTCACTGACCACTTCCTGTTGTCTTTCTGCCCTTCAAAATCTTTCCTTATTGCAGATGCTCTCTGACCTGAGTCTGTGTAGTACCAGACCCTGGACTGTGTCTTGGCAGCATCCTTTGCCCACTGCTCGGCACACGTGAAGTTGGTCCTCTTAGCTCAAGAAGTGCCCAAGTTGCCACGGCAGTCTCACAGGGAAGAGGAGGGTGTTCTGTCCTGAGGCAGCACAAGATAGGGAACAGGCACTGCCTCTGTGTGGTCAGGAGCTCTCCTCTTGTCTACGGGATGAAGGAAACTAATGTTCACAGGCCTTTAATGGGAAGGGTGCCCTGGAACTCCACTGTCTGTTCTGCCTGGGCTCCCGACTCCCTGAAGCCAACCTTGCTGCCTCTGTTCCCACACAGGAATGGCTCCTTTAAACCTTGAACCTCCCACTCTTGCTTCTGGCAGAGGTTGTACACAGTCCTGTGAGTGTTCCTCCTGGGTGGAGCATGTCTTCCTCTCCAGGTCGGCTCCGAGCCCCCTAGGGGTTGGGATGCTGCTCTTTATTCATCGCCCTAACTCTCAGTCTCATGTGGTGTCTTCCCTACTGCACCAATCAAACTTCAGCTGCAGTGAAGTATGCTTTTCTTATGTAATTGTTTTTGTGCATGTTAAACTGCTAAAAAGAAGGTCTCAGAAATGAAAATCTGTTTTACATTTTATGGAAAATTTTGTCACAGTTGGGGGAGTTCAGTGTGGAATAAGGAGTTAACCCAGAAGTGAAAACTGGAAGAGCTGAATTAAGTAATGGTTCAATTTGCAACAAGTTGCAGGATCAGGACCCACTGAATGAGGTCCCTCCTCAGGCCTTTCCAAACATGCTGAACAAGAGGTAGGCTTGTCAACCTTTTCTATGGCTCTGGGGTCCCCATCTGGCTAAGGGTAGCTCTGCATATGTACTGGGTGAAGTCGTAGCCACAACAATCTGATGATGATGATGATGTCAGAAATCTGAAGGAACAGCAGATTCCAGATCTTGCTTATGGCACTGGGCAATTATGGCATAAGGAGAGAATCTTCCAATTTTTAATGGATACTAATGCTTAGGGTGAAAGATAAGGCAGCCAGAGACTGTGGCAGCACGTTTTTGTCATTTTGCAATGCTGCATATCACTAGCAAGAGCTCCCAGCCCTTACAATACTATGTGGGTTCCCAGAAAAACAAGACAAAAAACATTTTCTTATGCTCCATATGAAAATGAAGAGCTTTCAAAACTACCTGTATGTAGGAGGCCATGCAAAACCTATGCCAAATGTGGGACCGATGCACTGGAGTGGCATCTACTTAATTCTAATGTTTCCATATCAACCCCTTGCATCTCTCTGAATGCTTAGATGTGAGTGTTGTCAGACTTCTTTGCTCTTACTATAATTGCTAGAAAGGGAAGCAAGTTGGAAGAAAGTACTGAAGAAGGGTCCTGGGCACTGTGGGAGGCAAACAAGGGCAAGGGAGGGAGGGGGGCCTCCAAAAGTGCTGGCTGCTAGATGCTGGAAAAGTTTCATCAAGCACATCACCACTCACGTTGGCCATAGCTGGCTATTCTTTCCTCTCTGCTTTGTTTGTGTAGTTTCCTCCTGCCTGAAAAACACTCTCTCCATCCTAGCTCCATGGCTGTTGATATTCCTAGTCATCCAATGCAGATGCCACCTTCTCTGTGACAGCTTTGCTTGGCCCTTCAAGTGGATTCTATGTGTTCCCACTCAAGTTTATCTATGTCCCGGTTGTCAAAATTACCATAATCTGACAGCCTCCAGTTAGTCATGTCCCTGGCTGTCTGTCTCTCTCCTGGACTGTGAGCTCTCCTGATGAAGGGCTTGTGCCTTTTTCTGTGTACCCACTGTCAAATCCAATGGAGTGCAAAAACCCTCCATCAACAGAAACATGTCCGTAATCAAAAAGCGCTGAAGAAAAGAACACTTTTTCTTTTTTTTTTCTTTCCTCAGGACAGTACTGAGAACCCAGGGCCTTCCCATTGAGCTACATCCTCAGTTATTTTTATTTTTACATTTTTAAATTTTGATGCAGGGTCTTGCTAAGTCACCCAGGTTGCGTCTGAACTTGAGATTCTCCATCCTCAGCATCCCACAGTGCTGGGATTAGAGGAGGTACCACCACACCCAGCTGAAAGAAAATCTTCAGGTTATTTTAACAGTGGCTTCTGTGATAGTCAGTACCCTAGGAAACAAGCACCTGTTTATAAGCTGGTGCACCCCAGGTGACAGAATCCACAGGGGAGCAGTAGCCAATGATTAAGCCCAGACACCTGTGGCCCCAAGAATGATAAGAGAATGAGAATGGAGAGTCACTGAACAGCCAGCTGGTGATCTGCTCTGGAAACCTCCATTAGGTCTCTACATCTGGAAACTGAACCAAGAGACTTCACTACTTAGAACTCCCAGTTGAATTTTACACCTTCCAGGCATCATATTTTAGGGCTGCTTGACTATAATAATCAGAGACCAGTCACTACCAAATAAAAAGATAAGTCATCACTTGGGGAAAGAGATCCCTACCTGAAGAGCCAACCCACATTCATCTAGACTAAATGAAGAGCACACACAACAATCTGGCCTTTGACTCTTCAGCACCTTGATAACCAGAAGTCTCTGCCATCTCAGATCGTTATACAGTCAGACTAACAGCATCATGAACACAGTACTGACATCTCTTCCTGGACACCACACATACCACACCTGTGCTCCATGCAAGAATGGCTTGCCCTGGTGGGCAGCAAGGTGGCGTCAGGTTGTGCATGGGGTGATGATGGGGAATGGGAGAGTACTGAGTACGGCCTCAGGCAGGGGTCCCTGGAGTCACACGCAGGGTCAAGAATGCTTGGCCGAGGCTGGCCTGCCTGTCCTTAGCCAGGAATTCAGCAGCTCAGGTCAGCTGCAAGATCTGACATAGAATCAGAAGGTTCTCCTGCTGCTGGGAGCACAGGGCTAGGAAGATGTGAGCCTGAACGCTGGTCTCCCTCCAGCGCTCAGGATCACAGACATAGTTCCATGTGCGTGGTCTCCTAGTGCTGTGCAGACCTCATTTGATTTAGCCTCAAACAAACTTGTGAAGGAATAGCCATAACTGATCTCGTGCCTGACAGGTTACCAAGCAGCCTGCACATACGTAACATTACATCTATGCCACTGCGGTCACAGATACACCACTCACCAGCCTCGGGCTTCTTCAGTCAGAACTGAAAATACCAGGAATTGTATTTGTTTTAAGCCATCTCGGCCTCAGGAACCTAACCAGGGATTGCCAGTGCTTCAAGGTCTATATTCTGAGCTATGGGCAACCAAGAAAGACGTCTCAGAAGCAGTAACAGGGAGACGATGAAAGCAGTGGCAAGCTCCCAAACCTGCCACCACGCCTTACAGCTTGAGCAAATTTGTGACTTTAAGTCACAAATGGAGTAAATAAAATGTTGCCTGTTATTCAGTTGCAGCAAGACAAAGTAAACATGCTGGTGGCTTGTTACATTCCGTGGAAATAACAGATGACATGTGGCATCCTCTAAGGATGGTCAAAGAGGCCCTAACACTTCCACCGGCTTCAACTCAGCACACAGAGGTGCTTAAAACCCCAAGCCCTGGTCTCTGCCGCCTTCCACAATTTGGCTCGATAGAAGGCGACGCTCCACCAGCTCTCACTGCTGCCTCTGGGTGCTGGGCCTCTCCTTCCCTGCGCAGAGCGACCCCTCCCATCTCTGCCAATTGTTCCTCTGTGCTCTGCACATCTGCTTTTAATCACCCAGAAAGAAGCACATCCGGGGTCTCCCCTGGCACGTTCTCTCATGAGCAGCAACTGGTGACAGCTCCTCCCCACAAAGGAGGCCCCGAGAAGTATTTTTAATAAAGGACTGCCCCATGGTTTTCGCCTTCCTGGCAATGAGTTACCAAGACAACCAACTATGAGATAAAAACAGAAGGCTGTGGGGCTTAGAGTGAAAGGAAAAGTATCTAGATTATTTTCTTTCATCTTTAATCATACTCTGACCTTTCACGAAAGAAGAATCCTTACACAAATTCTTTTTTTTTTTTGGTACGGGGGATTGAACTCGGGTCCTTGCGCTTGCAAGGCAGGCCACTGAACCACTGAGCTAAATCCCCGGCCCCTTACACAAATTCTTTTTTTTTTTTGGTACGGGGGATTGAACTCGGGTCCTTGCGCTTGCAAGGCAGGCCACTGAACCACTGAGCTAAATCCCCGGCCCCTTACACAAATTCTTACGGCTCCTTTGCTCAGAGCTGAGACGCTCTCGGAATCTGGCCACACAAGTGCATTTCTCTTACAGCCCCACTTTAACCCACCTCTTCCTGATGAACTTATGGATGTTTGTCTCCGGGGCATGGATCAATGGATCCCAGCAAGAGTGATACACACTCCCCTGGGACAGTCAGCTGCACCTGTCACGGCCCCACGGAAGTGTTCACAGGCTCATGGACCCGCTGCACTCCAACCAGGAGGGCTCTGCGTACTTACTTGTTCATCTGAAGCATACAACACTTCCATTAGTCGCTGCACGAGGTCATCATTTTCCTGCCCATGCTCTTGGCAGAGCAGCTCAATCTCTCTCAGCTTCCCGAAGTAGAAATCCCTTTCCTTTTCCACACCTTCAAGGGCAAGTTTTAATGAATGTACCTGTAAGAAAGTGAGAATAGAGAAGAAATCCCCAAAATATACAAGAAAAAATAAGCAACCAATTTTGACTGTGGATAAGGACCCAGAACATGTAAAGAGAGACACAGCACAAGTGGCGAGTCGGGTGGAGACAGGGCTGTCATCCAAGTGCAAGCTGGATTGTCCAATTTCAGGAGCATGCTGGCCATTCCTTTCAACTGAGTTGTTTATCACCTGGCCAGAGCAGCCCTTCTGCTTGCACGGTGCTACCCAGGCTGAAGGGAGCCTTCCTTCTGCTAGTCTGGGCTGGACCAAATCTTTCTTCTAACTCGTTGCTATGATCTGAATGTCTGAGTGCTCCCATGTTGACACAGTAAACCCAACGTGACAGCATTAGAATGCGGGGCCTTTGGGAGGTGACGAGGTCACAAGAGCAGCGCCTCATGAATGGCATCAGTCCTTATGAAAGCGGCCTAAGAGATCGTTCAGATCTTTTCAGCATAGAAGGCACAGGAGAAGACAGCATTCATGAGGAATAGGCTCTCACTACACGAATGGATCTGCTGATGCCCTATCTCCAGCTTCTAAAACTTCCAGATTTATTTCCAGAGAAATAAATTTGCTGTTTATAAACCACCCAGCTCATGATTTTGTTATGGCAGCGTGAATAGACTAAAAATACTCCGCAAGGAAAGGAGAAGAGAATGAAGGAAGGAGATGACAGAAAGGGTTCTCAGGATGGGTAGATTATTTTGAGGACCCTTCCTTAAGCCTTGCACTAAGAGCTGACCTTGGTTTTAGATTCCTTCAAAAATGATTCTGAACCAAAGTGGACAAATGCTCTCCATCAAAAAATTAGGTCTTGGAGAACAAGGAAAACTGGGCGAGAGTGAAAGGTAGCTGGGTGGGTCTGACTGAACTTCTCTAGTTCTGGCTTTGGTTGCATCACTGGAAAGATGGGGAGGTCAGGAGACTCTACTTCTTCACCAAAACAGTTCTTATTTCCTTTTCCCTCTTGATGCTGGTTAAAGGATCTTCCAGCGCTGTGCAGCTTTTCACCCTGTTTACATGGCACAAGCGATGGGGAGGCACTAACAGGGCCCAGAATGCCTGCTGCTGAAGAGACTCTCAGGAGGGTGTGGAGAGAGCTGACTTTCAAATCTCAGGCAGCCACGCTCCTGTGAGTAGAGCTGCTACACACAGGTCGAACATTCACACCGTGCCTGGTCCTCCACAGTCCATTCCTTTTACAATACTTTGTTCATTTATATCTTATTACGTATCATCTTTGGGAAGTAAGTTAAGTCATTAGGGTATTCCTGAGATGAAATCTCTTTTAGCACATTCAAAATCACCATTAGAAGAGTTTTACACTTGATCTTAGCCAAAAGGCTGAGAAGCTGTCACCTTTAGAAGAGTTTTAAAAATTACATTTGGGCTGTAAAATTTCCTTTTCTAAAAAACAAGTGTGGGCCTTTGCATGTGCTATTTATCTGTTTGGAATCACTGGTTCACTCAAAAATACATGGAGCACATGCAACAACCATCTGCTTGTTGTGCACCTGGCAGACTCAGATCCATCCTGGAAGACTTGGGAATATGGCCTTTCACCATATTTCATTAGTTAACCTCACTAATACACACTCACACAGCTAAGGCATGGAGGGTCGGTTTGCCAACTGCTTAGTTCTGTGAATACTAGATCTTGAACATGTGCAAAAACTGAAAGCGACCAGCTTGAATTTCACAAAAAAGAAAACTTTACTTTAGAAATCCTTTCTTGCTTTAAACAAACAAGCCCCCTCTTTGTGCTCAGCTACAGAATCTATGTCAACCCTCTGTCGGTGCCACCAGATGGATCGGTGGCATCAGATGTGTCACCATTTGCTAGCTAACCCCAAGCATGCAAGGGCACAGTCCACTCAAGAAACAGGTCTGTTTGCCTCCTGAGCATTTCGGTTTACACAGTGAGCAAGCAGCTGAGGCCGTTGTGTAAATACTCAGGCCAGCCCAGCTGTGGTGGTATTCCAGATGTGTTAGGTAAGAGGTGCTCAGCTATACACATTCCGTAGTAGAAGCTGTCAGCAGCTAGGTGATATGTGGAATGACCCTCCTCACCAAGTCTGATGCGGGCACATCCCTCACCTGTTATGGCACTGGAGATGCACCTTGGGAACAGTCGAGGGCAGGGCCACAGAGGAGAAGCTCCCTTTTCACAGTTCTCCCAATCGTCCACTGACTGCTGGTCGCCTGGGGCTTGTAGTCCACATGACAGTCACAGTCTCTGTCTGGGCTACCCAATGCCTACCATACCTCTGCCAGCAGTTCTTGAGCCCAGCACGGACTCCAATCCACACTGTCCAGAAAGTATTCCTAATTATTATGCATTTCCTGCCCTTGCATCTTTTGATTCATTTCTATCACTGAATTGTCTAGCACAACTTTACTTTTATAGGATATCATGGGAGGCTGTCTGAATAAAGGCATGAGGCCAAGCAAATGAAAATTCTTAAAGTTTACAGCACTTGTCACTTTCCTATTACTACTGTAATTCATGCGTCTGCTTAGGCATTTCCACTTGGCTCCCCTTGGTCCTGGCATTCTTAGCTCTAACTCTGTGATGCCTGTGTGGCCAGCTATTAGTGTCAGGGGGCCCTGTGTAAACTTCAGGGACAGGAAATGGAGGGAACAATCGCATCACCGGATCACCAGAGAAGCGCATCTGTAACAAGTGCTCAGTACGTATCTCGAATAAAAGCCTCCCAAATTAGGGTGTGTCTGACCTTGCCTCTGACAGAGTGGGTTGGGGCAGACACACTCCTCAGTGTGAAGGTGCCAGGGGGCAGGAAGGGCAAGAGCAGCCTCTTCAAGTGATAAAGGGATCACCAGTGCAGTAAGGCCGTTCCTCTCTTCTCCCTCGCTGTCCTCTCCGGAGTGGCGTTTTGGAGGTCGAGGGATGACAGGGTTGACTCTTTTTATGATTTGGACCAGTAATGAGAGCCAGTCCCAAGAAGACAAGCAGGCTGGCTGCTCTAGGCTGTAAGGGACAGGGGCAGGAAGGACCTCTAGGTCTCCACAGGTCAGAAATTGGGCTGGAGGGTGGGAAACCTGGGTGTGGTGAAGAGAAAACTCAGGGAGGAGAGGAATCCTGAAAAACATGAGGTGACAATATCAGAAGAACCTGTCTTCCTCGGAAGAGGAGAGGTATAAATCCAAAGAATGACTGACTCAATGCCTGGTTCTCTTTGGGTCAACTTCAACTTGCTTGGAGCCTTAGGCTTATGGCCCAAGTCTCACTATTGCTGTCCTTACTGCCTTTTATCTGAGAAGTTATTACTAGGAACTCTTTGGGGTCCAACTGTGGGTCAGTAAGTGATCAGGATATTCTACTTTCTAAATCAAAATCTTATCTGCCAGATGACAAAGTGTTACCCCTTTTCATGAACGCAGTCAAGATAGTAAAGAAATAGCCCTGCTAAGCAACTTCCTGGTTTTTAAACTAGATTCTTCATTATGAACACACAATTACCTTAAAAACTGTTTCCAGACCCTTGTTGGGTCATCAAAGATTAATCACTGGGTCTGGCTGGGTGAATGGCTGGGAACAGCCTGAGCACCTGAAGTCAAGGCTGCTCTCATGGTGGAGGGGCCAGCATGAAAGACACTTGGAGGAAGAAAGGAGCTTCTGCAGTGGGCCCTAGGCCCCCGTGTTTTATAAGGCTATGTATAGCTTTAGGCAAAATTAGCTACTGCTTAGTTAGAAAGTGGATCAAAGCCAGTAGAGCTAGATTTACTGTATTAAATATAAAAGTTCTACTTGAAATACTGCTGTAGCCTCTCAATCTTCCCAGCCCTGGGTTCAGGGCTCTCAGGGCACCCTGTGAGAAGGGCTGGATTTTGTTTTGCCCGAGTAATGATTTCCGTGAATAACTGTGGTCTGAGGGAAGGAAAGGTATCTATCCTGCTACTATTATACTACTGGAACTAAGCACAGTATCTGCCTCATAAAACAGCCTCGACAAATAGTTGCTGAAAGGAAATAAAGAAGGGAGAGAGAGGGAGGAAGGGCACGAAGACAGGGAAGGAGAAGGAGACAGTCTGACCCTTTAACACTTTCTAGCCTGGCCAAAAGTGGGGAGGTGAGACTGTGTGCAGCCTAACCTGGAGCTCAGGACTACAGGGGAGGGGGAAGAGGAGGAGGAGGGGGGAACAGCCTCGACAAATAGTTGCTGAAAGGAAATAAAGAAGGGAGAGAGAGGGAGGAAGGGCACGAAGACAGGGAAGGAGAAGGAGACAGTCTGACCCTTTAACACTTTCTAGCCTGGCCAAAAGTGGGGAGGTGAGACTGTGTGCAGCCTAACCTGGAGCTCAGGACTACAGGGGAGGGGGAAGAGGAGGAGGAGGGGGGGGGGGAGATTTGTGACTAACATCTTTCATTCATTACAGGTTACTGTCTTTTTCTTCCTGAATAACTCCTTTTATTCATTTTTGCTTGAAACCACTGATTCTGCCTTCCTCCCCCGCTTCCTTCACCCAGGCCTGTTTGGGTTTGGCTTCCCTTCCCCTTACACATGTTACTGCTCCCAGAGACACAGCTAGAGATCATCAGTTACCTGCTCATTAAGCTGTATGACCTGTGTTTCTAAATCTTTATCAGACTTGGATGCTGAGCCACTGGACGAAGCCCTTTTGGCAGACGAAGGACGAGACGGTGTGGAACCTGGTTTAGATGCTGGACTTGATTTAGCTGCGCCTGAAAGCAACCAGAACACATTATAAATATTGGCAATATTAAAATGATTTTTATTTTTTAAACATTCATTCATTCATTCATTTATTTATTTGAGACAGGGTCTCACTATGTAGTTGAGACTGACCTGGAACTCACTATGTAGCCCAGGATGGTTTCAAACTCACAGGGATCCTCCTGCCTCAGCCTCCCAAGTGCTGGGGTTACAGGTGTGCGCCACCACGCCTAGCCTAAAATGATTTTTAGATATGTGGCCGAAATAGGGTATAAAAGTCATTTACTAAAAAGTACCAGGGATCCCACGATCCGATTGCAGAAGAAGGACAAATAGATTTAAAAGAACTGCACATGATTAACTGCAGGTATACTTGGCAATTTATTTAACTTTATGAAAACAAGTGTTTTTCTTCTCAGATAACAAGAAATTGATGAAGTTTTGCCTTCTCCCTCCAGACAAGGAGTGACAGCTAAAAGAGCCTTCAAGCTTTTAAGAAGAAAGGTTTTAGGTGACTCCAAATTATTACCCTAATTGAGTTGCTAACAAACAAGAGAAAAGGCCTTATCTATCTCAGATGAATACTTCAGAAGAAACATTGAAACAAATGTCTATTTTTTTTCTTTTCATAGCTTCAGCTAGTAAAAGAGCCTAGGAGCAAAGGCATCTCCACAGCTGTGAGCACCCCTAACCCTAAATCTTGATCTCTACATGTCATTTTGCAAAAAGAGGCTTCTTGAGTAGTCAGTGAGCCCAGGACACCTTGAGTCAAAAAGAAAGGATGTACTCAAGAACCACTGTCAAGAGGACACAGGAAGACACTTGGAGGAGCTCCTGGCTAGCCGCCCAAGGGCAGTTTGCACGTTAGGAAGGACAGTGGCTATCACTTACTATGATGTACTGAAATGTAAAAAACCACCAGCCCATCATGGGGGGTGCAGGAGGAGAAAAACAATGTAAAGATCTTTATAGAACACTGGCAGCCAGTAAATATAGAAAAACATGTTAGGAAAATCAGAATTTTGCATTATCCATAATTAGCAGCTGATTCTAAAATGGCTCATCAAAACATGAGATGGGAGGTTTTTAGGGAAGATCTCTAAGGGTCAAGGTGTCACCTTATAAAGCTCTGCGCTTAACTATAAAGGGGGAAAATGAATCTTTCCAATGGGGTGAGCACCTGAAACCAGAGATCCAAGGAGTATCTCTCCTTAGTGACATCAATAACAAACAAAAACACCGCTTTCAGGTCAGCCCTCCCCTCTCTCCCACTCAGCTCACAATGGACTCAGACTGGAACGAACACAGGAATGGCTTCCAGAGCCAAGGCAGAAATCACAAGTTCCATGCAGGGAAGCTTGTGTACTTCATGAGTTAAGACCTTCTGGGTCACTGCTGGGACCTACCTTTCCCTTTTTTTCTGGACACAGTCCCAGGGAGGGGGCAGCTCTGTGTCCACTGATCCCTGTCTGGTTAGGTGACCCTCCTGTGTTTTGCTCTCTACACGGCCCACCCTTTGCCCTTCCAGACGGGTCTTGTGGGGCAAGGAACATGTCTTTTTCATAGTAACACAAGTGCGTCACATAATGCTTGATGGAAAGTCATTCGGTGAAGGAACAAATGTTTAAATAAATACATGAACAAGCAAATAAAACCTGCTTACGTGGCTTCCAATTTTACTATTTATTTCCCACTTTATAGCTCACAATTTTTCTGTTTTCTGACACATTAGAAAGAGGCAAGGGGTTATAAAGGCAGGTATGTGACAGCAGTTACAAGTTTCAACTAATGCCCTAATTACAAAGTAGCTAACAAGAAGACTATAAAATCTGTATTTGTGTGCTTCAGGTGCCTGGAGTCATTAGTTACAGATGCAAGTCAAACACACCCTTGAGAAGCACTGACAACATTATAGCTGTTAAATACTCATATATGCCACTCTGTTGTACAGAGGAAAAAAATCTTTAAAAAACTAGGAAGGGCTGGGGATTTGGTGTAGTTTAGCTCAGTGATGCCACCGCCTGCCTCACAAGCGCAAGGTCCCGAGTTCAATCCCCGGTATCAAACAAACACAAACAAACTAGGGAAATGCTCAGTATACTTTAAAATGGAAATATTATACTGAGGATGATTTAAAATAGTCTTGAGTGTTCTAAGAGTAACTCTGCAGGGACCTGGATCCCTCATCTATGCCAAAGGCATCCTGGGGGTTGTGGAGAGCTGGGGTTTGCATATCTGTAAAGGACCCTTCCCTCTGAGGAAGCCTGCGGAGAACACTAGTGGAGCACTGCACCCCACGGAGGAGTCACTTAATAACACTGTCAGAACAAGTTAATGTCCTGAGATTCCACCACCATCCTCGTGTGACTTGGGCTTACTCCCTCCTCCCCCTCCCACACTTTGAGTCATGAGGCCTGACATTTTTCAGGTCTCAGCTTAGAGGTCCCTTCTTCTGTGTGGCCACAGCATTCTGGGCACTTTCTTGAGAGGCTGTACCAACTGTAATGGTGGCCATGATGTAGGAATTACATCTGCTTTGTCTGGCATGTTACATCTCTGTGGCCAAGCACAGTGCCTGAAACAACCACGGACCATACGTGTCCAGAATTCATTCGACAATTCCTAGCAGAGGCATCATTCCAACAATGACACCAGGAAAGCCTGGAGAGCTAATGCTGTGTCAAAGTCACTGTCCAGAAGAGCTGGCAACACATGAAGGAGACCAACAAAAGGAGAGGGGGCGAGGGGGAGAGGAAAAGAGGGAGAGGGGGAAAAGGAGGAGAAGGAGAGAGAGACTGTCTGACCTTAATTTAAATAAAGAAAATACGGAACAGAAGCTAACTGCTTGTAAAACAAGGCCACCCCTAATGATGTTTCCAAGGTATGGAAATGCACCTTGAAATAAAAGTTCAAGTGTCTGATAAGGAGCCGCAGAGGGGCTATGGGAAGCCACCCCACGACACGGCCTGGCACGGAGAGGAGCGCACTGAAGCAGGTAGGACTCTGGCTGAGAGACACAGAGCAGGAGTGACACACTCTCGGCGTGGCACACAGCAGACAGAGCTGCTGCAGTTACTGCCGCCGGGGTGGCTCCCGCCTCGCCTCAGGGAAACACATCCCTGCTGTCGGACCCAATTTAAATCCGCCTGTGTGGGTCTGGCTCTCTGAGCTGTGTTTCCGGAGTTTCTGCCTCAAAGTGGCATCTGTGTTTGTCCAATTCTGCAAAGACCCTTTGGGGCCAGGGTCCAGGTCTCTCCCACTTCACACGAATGTCCTTTGTGGCTGGATACACCCGAGGGGAGACAGGAAAGTCTGACAGACATGGTGCCCCAGCTGCTCCTACGCACGCAGGTACCACGCACGAGGGATGAACAGGCTCCCTCCCCTGCCCTTCACAGCCACTACTGGGTGGCACAGTGCAGCGAGGGAACAGAACACAAATGTGAAGATTCAGTAACAGACCAATGGCATCATCAGCTGCTGACGTTTAAATTTAGAGGGGTTCTGAAATTCTGCTAAGTTGTTTGGAAAGGCACTGATAGCAGGGAATAAATGACAAAATGAGGATGTAAGAGGCTGGCGCTAATTAACTGTACACCTGTAGCCCCGCTAATGAATAAACAGGGAGAAATTAAAAAATTGGAAAGATGGCTGGAATGACGCGAGTATAGTCAGGTTTAGGGTTGTTTAAATATACAGTTCAGGATTAAACCAAAAAGTCTTCTTCAGAAGAATGTAGACTGAACACTTTAAACACTGTAAGCCACAAGTTGATATGAAGTAATTTATTCCTCCACAACTGCCACACGATTAACATACACTAGGAAATATGAAATGTAAACACAAAAAATAAAAATGAAACTTCCTTATATTGGCCTCCCTATATTCAATAATTTCATGTTTTACTTTTTAGAATTAGTACGAGTGACAAAATCTTAAGGTATAGCACACCCTTTTAGACAGTTCAGAATAAATTTTTTAAATTTGCTTTATAGGTTTTGCTGTTTTTTCCCCCCACACTCTAAAGTGTACCTAGCTCCCGAGGGCAAATACTCTTTTCTCACTTTATAAGTCACTATTTTAAGGGCGTTATCAGAAAATCACAGTTTTCAGACAAGAGGAAAGAAATAAGGGGGGGGTCAGGGTGGGTAATGAGAGGGATGGATACAAGGAAAATATACATACTGAATCTCTCCAAATACGAAACTAGGGGGGAAGGCAGGGCTGGCGGGAGGATGGCAGCGTGAAAGTAATCAAAAGTATGTTTGTGCCTGTACATATCTACCAGAGAGAAGCCCAGTAACTGTATAACCAATTTAAAAAAGGAAAAAAAACCCCTATTAAAAAGGCAAACTGTACACTTACCAATGTCAGAGAATTTAACACTGACAAGACACTTTTACGTAAGCTACTGTCTGCACTGCAATCGTGTGAAGTGACCGTACAATGTCCTCCACAGTGTCTGACCTCAGTTCTATGAGGTCCTCAATAACTTGTTTCCCAGAATGCCCAACTCCGGCAGGGATCCCACTGCTGGGCCTTCCCCTGCCTCTTCTCTCAATGGTGCTTACATGAAAAACATTTACATAATGGCCTTTGAAGAGAGTACAGCTACTCTGGCTACAACACAGATACAGATTTTTTTCTTTCAGCTATTAACCATTTCAACTTTTTTCCAAGCTGTGTTTGTGTGATGTCCTGAAAACATAATTAGCGGTAGCTGTATTTTACAAGCAATTGTTTTGCCCCCAAGCTTTTCTCTTCTTCCCAATTTTCCCTTTCAAAATAAAAAGGAGTTTCAGAAGCAGAGGAAAACAGATAAATTCTGTACAAGTCCCTGTAATTCTCTGAATTTGCCCACTGGATATGGACATGATTCACAATGGTAGCCTCTGAGCAGTTGTGTCTTAATTAATGCCTTTAGGATTTGGGGTATAAATATGATTCTAAGACATTTTAACCATGGTTATGAAAAAACAGAGTGACTGGCCTGATTCATTGCCTTAGT